ATTTACATTTATTTAAATTTTACACAGCGTCCCAACTTTGTGGCTTTGGGGTTGTATTTTTCTTGTTCTGTCTTTATAGCTATCACTTTGGATTTTTGGCTTTTTTTTTTATTAGAAGGTAATGGGGTCTAAGGCACCAGTGAAATTGTTGCTTTGGAAAGAAGCTGCCATGGACACTGTTGACAGAAATCAAGCAGAGGGGTCAGGTCAGTGGTATGTGTAGTGATTTCTGCTGTGATGAACCATGACTGGACCACAGCCTAGTAAGTGGAGGGAGAGGGAGAGAGAGAGACAAAGAGATAGAGAGAGAGAGAGAGAGTGAGAGAGAGAGTCTTAGGGGGAAATAGTAAGTCTGACTGTGAAGAATGTCCAAATCGATGTTGTGCCCCCTAAAGTCAAAAGCTGCTTGTTGAAGCAGTGGCCATCTCTTTTGGCAAACTCCCAATGAAAAATGCTACTGATAGCAACAGCACCATGCATTTGTTCAGACATTTTTTTAAATATTTTTTTAATTAATTGTAATAAATTAATGAATAAATTTAATTATTTACCCCTTAATGAGTAAATTTAATTATTTACCCCTGCCCCCCTTTACACTGAACATTTCCAGAAGAAAAGACCAACAGAAATGATCCAAAATTTAAAACAAATAATAAAAACAAAAAATCTAAAACTTTAAAGCTGCTCTATGTACTTTTTTGTTACAATTGAATGTAGCAGCATTAATGAGTCAGGAGAAAAAAAACATGCAAAAATATTTTGTCCCTGCGAATTCTGCCTGAAATGATCTAGACAAAGGTGCGACTCAATGTTTAGGACTCAAATGCAAACATCAACATTATGCTGATGATGATAGCAAATAATTCACTCACATCCTCAGAAGACACGTCTTTCACTAAGTTTTGACTGAGTTCCAGTTGAAAACTCTTTAAACGCAATCAGATTTATCTGGGCTTGGGGTCTGAAGTAGAACCGACATAACAAAATGTTTATCTGTACATTGTGTAATTACACATTTCCACCAGAGGTCTCCAAATCCCCAAATCTTACATAATGCAGCTTTAATGTTCATTTAAATTAGGAATGTTTTTTTCTTCTCCAATAAGGTTACTGTTGAAGATATGAGGTTTTAAAAACAAGGGCAGTCACAGTTACTTGAATAAATTAAAATACTTAAATAAAAATAAAATTTATTCTTTTTTTTTTTCTTTTGGCCAGGGAGAGCTTACACACTATTTCTTGCCTGAGCCTTGAATGCTGGACATAGTTTCTCTGAACACCTATTAGTGAACTCTAGGTGGTTCACAAGCTCCATGCTATTAGGTTAAAATTCCCCTTGTCAAGACAACATTGTTAATAATGTAGGCTATAATTAAAATTGCAGCTTCGATATAATTGTGATTTCAACATAAAAATGATTCATATTTCTGCTCTATTCTAAAGTAAGGAATATTTTTACCATCTACTGTAAAGTTACCATTTTGGAGTTACAAGGTTTTCTTTATACAGTGACAATATTCTTTTGGCACATTTATTTTTAAACTTACATACAAACCACACAAACATTACACCAGATATTTATGCTCTGTGTCACAGCCACATTTACACAGATTCCCACACTGTATTTCTCTCCCTTTATCCCTTTCACACACACCAATACACTGACACACACACTCTCACACACTCCCCTCTGGCAGTGTTGTTTGACACATATGGCTTGTTATGCAGCCTGGTGTCCTTGAGATTGAAAATATCATTATGGCTCTTCTCACCATGGCTTTCAGTGCACACACACCAAGCCTGACACTGTTTGCTCCATTTCCCTTCAGCATTTACAGTATATCCACACACACACACACACACACACACACACACACACACACACACACTCAGTTTCTCACACACTCAGTTTTTCTCTCCCTAATGATACAAGCATGAATACATGCATGTGCCGCGTGTTCTGAAATGCAGTGACTCGATTTCCATGCCTTTGGGATTTGCACTAATAAAAAAACACAATTTGAAATAAGATTCAGCACTCGACATGAAATATTCTCCAAGTCTGCTCTCCGTTTCTGTTACAGCTATGACCCCTCCGGGCACCCGTACACTGAACATTGAACTTTACTGTCTCCCAAAGCACACATTACAGATTCATACGCTTGAAGACACATAATCAACAAACTCTGAGAATCAGCGACCCATCAGGGAAACGCTCTGCTCCCGATGGATACTGCTGTTTAACTCTGAGATAAAAAAGCCTCATGCAAATATTTTACTATGCGAAATAGTGCCCGTATGAATGAGCAGGTTGATTATTGCCATTTTCCTTTTCAACCCCTTATTTTGTTTTGTGCAGTGGAGCGAAACACCTGCCAATTTGATTGACACAAGTCATCTGTTAATGTTGAACGTAAACCTCATTTTGAATTTTCTGTACAATACACCCTGATGTTCACACCTTGAGACATCATGTTTGTGAATATAAGATGAAAATCATTCACAGCTTCGCAAGCAAATACGAAACACAAACACAAAGTAAATTTGATATTGGTACACTGTCCTATTATACAGTCATATATAATAAGTGAACACATTATTTACAGAGAACACATTTTAATGCACAGTTACTGTTTATTTGCTGAATTTAATATATTGGTAATAAAAAAAAACATAAAACATGGCCTATGCAACAGTAATGGCACATGTTATGTTGTTTAATTTTTTTCCAATGTTAAACTTAGAAAATAAATAGAAATAGTGCACTAAAATGCCATATTTATTTATTTTCATTTGGAAAATCAGCAAATGATTAAATTTAACCTGGGCTTTTCAAACTTTTACATACAACTTATTTCTCCACTAAATAATAATATTATAGGAGACGGACTAAAAAGACTTTAATGTACGTTAATGTAATGAGATTTTTTTTGGTTTATTAATCATGAAATATTAACACAGTGTAAAGGACAGGTGCTGTTTTCAAAGGGTGTAAAAAGTAACAAAACATCAAATGTTGCTCCTGTCTGTCTTAGAGCTTTACATGTTTATCTAAACCTGACAGGACCCAACTGTCCCTGTTGAAATCAGTTGGGCTAATTTCCCAATTATGTGTCAGGCTCAGTCAGTTTCGATTTTCACATTCGGGTTCTCACAGCCCTCCTCCCACTTTTAATGGATTTCACTCTGTATTTCCCTCTGCTTTAGTTTTTACTCCTTTATTTTTTCTCCCTACTTTCAGTACCTGGAAACAGCTTTCAGTCTGGCCTGCTGGAGTCACTCATGGATTCAGCACCAAGGTCCACAAGCCTCACAGAAAATACAACAGCAAATCAGTTAAAAAGAAGACAGTTTAGTGCAGCCAAGAGGACATTGTTTATTTATTTTTATTGAAAAGTGTTTAGTGTGTTCAATATGTGTTCTGTGTAAAGAAATTAGGAATAAACAGGTGAAGGCATCTCACTATCTCAGTGTTGCACAGTGTGAGAACAGTGCGTTATGGAAAGTTTATACAGATTAAAAAAACATGTTGATATAAAGTATTTCTTGATGAATAAACATCTGATATCAGATATTTTCTTTTTTTATCCATTGTCTAATGGTGGCTATAATTGTCACTAGAAGCTTAACAAATCAGTGCTATCATTAGAAATATCAGGTGTTATTCAGCACTTAGGGTGATGTTAGGCCAGTTCACTTTAGTTTTGATCGGGTCAGTTTCACACTCAAAACCTGACGTGAGTCGGGTCAGGTTGGTGTTTGGGTAAAGTTTTGTTAGGCTTGAGTCAGGTCCAGACTGAAACGTCTGTGCTGTGGGTTGTGGAGGACTTGGGTATGTAAAGTGTGTGTGTGTATATATATATATATATATATATATATATATATATATATATATATATATATTATAAGTGGAAATATATATATTGAGAATGAGTGAGTGAGTAGATGATATGCTTAATAAGTGAGTGAATAAGTGACTACCTTATTGTAAGTAAGTAAGTAGATGACTGAGTGAGAGCAAGAGTACATGACTGGCTGAGTTGATTACTGGATGGGTAATTGAGTAATTGACTGAATTAATGAATTAGGGGTGAGTAAGCGAATGACTGACTGCATTAATGAATGCATGAGTAAATGAGTGAGTGAGTGGGCTGGTAAGCAAGCCAATCAGCAGGTAAGTGTAGGGAGGAGATGGATGGAGTCAGTGATTCGGCTAAGGAACGGATGGAGGATTTAATTGTGAACTGTCCGTGTAGGAAATTAAATCTCTCTTCAGAAATAATGAGAAGGATTAGCGCAGGCCACTAGGTCAAGAGCAGCGATCACACTTTCCGTTGGCGACGCCTCAGTCTTGTTTAAAATGAGATTTCACATAGTGAGAGACAAGGCTCCTTTGAGCAGCATTAATATATACCTCAGGATTCAATTCAGCCTATTGACGTTAATGCTTGAACATAGATTACTATTAAGATATGTGAATAAAACCAGAGAGTGATAAATTGACATTGAACTGAGGATAATAAAGTGAATAGTTCTAGCATCTTAATTCAGTTGCTGTCTGCTTATGTTAGTTTGAGGCCTGCTTACTTTCTTTGAGACATGCCAATTATCAAAGAATTGTTAAGTTGCTGGCCAAGAGCTAGCATTTTTCTTCACAGCAATACCTGCAACAATTAAGGGTGTGTATTGGTCTGAGGAACAAAATTGCTCCTAAATTCTTACTTTCTTGGGCCTGTTCATACCCAAGGGCATCTAAGACCTCGCCTGGCTGCTGAATGTCTGTTTTTCTGTATTTCTCGTCAGATATCTTGCTCTATAAATATGACTCAAATCAATGACTAGATATATGAAAGCTTTTTTTTAGGCCATCTCCTGGAGGCAAAGCTCCATATCGACAAATGCGCTGCTTGATATTTTGCACCAGTTTTACATCCTGTGCTTGGATTTGTTGGGCTGCTATACACGTCTGATATTAGTCTTCATTTGTTCTTGTCTTGCAGGAGCCTCGAGGCCAGGAGAATGCAAGAATCAGGAGGGGAGTAGATCTTTCGTGACATAATTCCTCTAGGGGGAAACAGAAAGGAATAGGGGAAAAGTGGGGCAAGGTGACAAAGAACCATGAACTCCTTCTGTTGTCCACAGGATGCCAGATAGCTGTGACTCGCCTCACCGTTTGAAAGAAAACGTTCATTTATCTTACCTTTTCATCCCTTCGCTTCTTTGAGGAGTATAGAGTGCTTCAACTCTGCTGAGACACTGGACCAGTAAAGAGTCTAATTGTAAACAAAGTTGGAAAAAGATTTAGCACATTGCGCCCATTTTTCATCCCTCTCTTGCAAGTCTCGAGAGCACCCACTGATGGAGAGACGAAGGAGAGTGTCTGGAAAGAACCGAGAACGAAGCAGAGAGTGAGATTGAGGAGAAATTGAGGGGAGATCAAGCGAAGAACAAAACTAAAAAAGAATCTGCTGAGTCTGCCAGGTTTGGAATAAGGCTCTTGGACATTTGGAGTATACTGCACTAGACTCCATTACAAAGTCCCCCTTTTGGAGAAGGACCATTCTATTCGAACTTCTATTGTGCTCAGTATTAAGCTGAGTAAACACACTAAGAAAGCCCCAAAGCAAGACTGGTGGAGCAGGAATTAACCCATAGAACACTGTTGTGAGCTAATTCAGACTCTGTCAGGGCTTATAAGATGACTAGACAGAGCAAAACTTTCCAGTGGCCCTTGTGGTCCTTAGTTTTAGCTGGGTGCTTCCTCTCGGCCTGGTCTCTGGAGTTTGGCGGAGCTACAGGTCAGTGGGCCCGCTATGGCCGCTGGGAAGCTGGCTCAATTGGAGAGCTTAGCTTCAGCCTGAAGACTAACATTAGCAAAGCTCTTGTGCTGTACCTTGACGATGGAGGCAACTGCGACTTTCTGGAGCTGCTAATTGCAGGAGGGCACCTACAATTACGCTTTGCCATCCACTGTGCTGAGCCTGCCACCATTCAAATGGAGACCCGTGTCAATGACGACCGCTGGCACATGGTCCTCCTTACCCGCAACTACCGCGAGACCATGCTCATGGTGGACGGTGAGACCAAGGTGGCCGAAGTTCGCTCCAAACGCAAGGAAATGGCTGTGGTTAGCGATCTCTTTGTTGGAGGCATCCCGCCGGATGTTCGCCTGTCCGCTCTGACTTCCAGCACGGTGAAGTACGAGCCTCCCTTTATGGGCCTTATCTCCAACCTGAAGGTGGGTGAGAAGCCCCCTACCCTGCTCAACAGCCAAGGCATTCAAAGCGACCTGGAGTACCTTTGTACCAAACAAAACCCGTGTCTGAACGGAGGATTCTGTGTCGTCCAGTTTGGAGAAGTGCACTGCGATTGCTCCCACACACGGTTCAGAGGAAAATACTGCAAGGAAGGTAAGAGAAACTGGCTTCTGTTTACTTTAAAAAGGCAACACCATTACAGAATCACAGAAAAAATTAGCAAGAAAGGATCTTGTTTTTCCTGTCAGTGATTAAGCCTAGTCCTGGACTATTTTTCCTTTCAGTAGAGAATCTCTAATCAGAATGCTGTGTAGTCCAGGACTGCATTTAACCCCTGTCCAGGACACTGAGCCTACATGTGATCTTTTCACCTGCTTACCTTTATTTATCTTTAAATAAATCTTTTATTTATCTTTACTTATCTTTATTTGTAGTCCCTGATTAATTTAAAAGCACTGCAAGTGTTTTAAATGTTCTTTGTAAGATTTTGCTATATATGCCTGTTATATAATCAGTGTCTCCCTCTATATAATACTTCATCTTCAAATTTACAGCCACATCTGTTTTATACTTAAAGATGACAGAATACGCCGCTTGTGACTCATAGCTCCATGATAAAACTCTTTGATGTACATTGCAATGTGGGTTTGCTATTCTCTTGATCAGTTAGCATACATTAACATTAGTTAAATTAGTGTATGTGGGCACAGAAAGGGAAGGATTTTGGCATGGCTAAATTAGGTTTATTGCCTTGGAGGCTTCTGTGTGATTAGAGGTTCTTTAGAGGTTCTTTAGTAGAGTAAGGTTATCCGTCTAATGGTAGTCACAACCGTTTAACCTGTACACTTTGTTTGGAAGGCTCTTTTCCAGGCGCGTTTGGCATTTTGTGTCACAGTGTGGCCTTTCAGAGGGCCCATAAAACACAGGCGACGTTTCTAGACGGATGAACCCAGGCTGAACTTTTTATTTTGCTCTTCCCTAAAACAAATTTCCTCCAATTCCCGGCCAATCGTTTTCTCCTTTCCGTCCCAGAATGCAATTCAATTTCCCTCTGAGGATCTTTGACCCAGTCTGTAGCTTGCTTTCCTTTTTCCTCCATCAATTTTTCGTGGCATCTGCTAACTGCAAATTTCTGGCTTTTCTCTCTTGCTCTTTAACTTTTTTCTTTTTGTTCTCTAACTTCCCTTTCTTCTCTTTTCTGCCAAGTACTCACCCTTCAGATTCTCCTCACACCCTTGGCTTTATTGCTGCCTGTCTGCCTTTCTTTCAATCCATCTTTCTCTCTCTCTCTCTCTCTCTCTCTCTCATTCTGTTGTCTGTACCACTACTACTTCATCTTTCCCCAACTCCTTTCCTCCCTTCCCACCTCTCTCTTCTTTGCTCCCTTGTTCTTTAACTTGCTTGCCATCCATCTTCCCTCTGCTATTGTCTGTGGTGGAGTACCCCATTTTTGCAGCTCTTTGCTCGTTTTTCGCTTTGCCATCAATCCATCACCTAATGTTCTCTCTCTTTTCTTTTCTTACTTTCTCTGTTTAGTGCTAAAATTCAGTATTGTGATCCTTTTCAAATATATCACAGCACAATGAAATTTAAAGGTGCTTTTTGGCCTAAAATTAGCATATGACATGTAATTTGTCATTGTCTGGGTGTTCTGTAGTACAGCATTGTATCTCTCAGCCTCATCAGTTGGACCACATTTTCATGTTTTCATTCATCAGTTTCTCACTACAGTACCCAGAATGCCTTATGCAAATACATCATACAACCTTTAGGAATCCATTTGGTGTCAACCAATTCCCACTGCTATTAAATACAACCAAGCTAGCATTCCCTTACCTCAGTAGTCAAACAATATCATAAAGCTAATAGTGATTTTAGTGATAGCCCAACGTTGACACCAGAGGTAAGTTATTACTATATCAGCCAGAGAAAAGACACCAAATTGATGCAGCTGACTTTATCAAACTAGCAACTTTATAAACTTTATCTTAGCTTGTTGTCCTCACCATCTGATTAGTCATTTCTGTTGTGTGAGTAGTCAATTCCATCGTTTGTAATGATGATTTAAAGACAGTTATTCGGCTGCAATAAGATCTTCTTCTTTTTCTTAGCAGTATTATATGCGTATTATACATGTTATACATGTGCCTTCCTTCTGCTTGAGTTATTGAGAAAAAACAGCCCAGTCCACCTTAGAGCAGCTGTGGTTTCTCAAAAGTTCCTCCAATGTTCAAAATCAGAATGGTATTTTTCCAGTATTCATCATCAGAAGGGTATTTTTCCAGTATTTAAATGGGAAAAATTTGCTTTAGAGATGTAGTGATGGTTTAATTGCTCATTTTGGCTGGAATGTTCCTTCACTAAATTGGTGCAGTGATGCAGAATTCAGTTGTTGTAAGACGAATTTTGATTATTTTACCGTTTCAAATGTGGCTCAGAACCAGAACCATCAGTTTTCTGAATAAAATTCAATGTTGTTTTGTGTGCCAGTCAAACTTGCCCATAAGCAGAAACCGAGATTTATTTATTCAGCAGTCACTAGTGAATTTCTATTTTGCAACCAAAATAGCATCACCAATTCATGGATTTTATGAATGCTGTGGCGTTCGATCATTCAAAAGCCATAGATTTTTATTCATAAACGTCACTCAAAAAGACAAACTGAATAGGTTATAACCTTCATTGAATCTGTGCTCATGTCTAGCATCGTGATTGTTGTGGAGTCATCAGAATTAACAATCCAAAGCACATACAGTGCTCCATAATGAGGAAACTGCGGCAGCATTTGTGCTTCCAGCAGGCGAAATGTTAGCATGCAGTCATTTCTGCTCCATGAAGTTAAGTGTACTGATACGTCCACCCATTCCCCAGTCTGCCGCTTTTCCTCTCTCCTTCATTTTTTTTCTCTATATTTTTCTCACTCATTCTCATCCTCTCTCTCTCTCTCTCTCTCTCTCTCTCTAACTGTTTTTGTCCTTACCTTTCAGACTTGTTCTGTTACTAATGCCATTATAGCTGCTGGCTGCCGACATAGCTGCCAGTACCGTCCCCCCTACATGTTCATTTCTCCATTTCTCCATTAATCTGTCTCATTTTCACCTCTCTCTCTCCCTCTCCCTCTCATGTGACTGGATGGAGATGGACAGAGTGTGGGCTGGTGAAGTGCTGATACTGTTTGGCTGTTGGCTAAAGCAGGAGCAGAATACCAATGCACTACCACTGCAGGAAATATTTGTCCTTTTGCGATAAAGACGGAGAGATAGAGAGATGCAGAGAGAGGAAGAGAGAGAGACAGACTGACAATCTTGTGTTGACTAATTTAAATCTAATATTCTTACCATCTTAACGTATCTAAGCATGAGTACTTTATGTGGACAGAATACTAGTACTGCTGATAAAACTGTCTCACTTATAGTGTTTCTATATGTCAGCATAACATGGTTAAAGATCAGCATGCATTGTTTTGACCAAAATACTTTTTACATGAAGACACAGAAAACTCCGCACTGTGATTAGTCAGGATGCTGCTCACAGCACACCATAGAAAGCACTCTGATTGGTTAGATCATTTGCACATTGCATATTAGAATTGCAAAGGCCAACAATTTGATAACGATTAACAAATGTTGCATTGAAAAGCATATATTGTGCATATTTTGCCTTTTTGTGTATGGTGAACAATTAGTGATGTGTACTTGTATAGCCATGTGAATTAGAGCTAAAAGCCTAACACACATAATATAGCTTCTTATACCAAAAGTACTATTATGATGTTGTACATGATGGTTTACAAACAAGGTTATAAACAAACCAAATATACAGTGTCCTCCACACAGGCTGTGAAAAAACATTCTTCATCCTTTTGCAAAGATAACAGCTCTATGTCTTCTCCTGTTGCTCATTGAGAAAGGAGAACACATGCTAAAGGATCTGAGATCATTTCTTTATAGAGAATCTCTCCAAAACCTGCAGATTCTGAGGTCTACATTGAGGACTCTCTTCTTCAGTCCATTCCACAGTTTTTCTATGGGGTTTAGGTCAGGGGACTGGGGTGGCCATGGCAAAACCTTTGCTCTGTGGTTAGTGAACCATTTTTGTGTTGATTTTAATGTACGTTTTGTATCATTGTTCTGCTGGAAGATCCAAACTATGGGCCAGTTTAAGCTTCTGGCTGAGACAGTCAGGTTTTGATTTTATTTCTGCTGGCACTTATTGGAGTCTGTGATACCATGTATCCACATAAATTGTCCATGGCCTTTGGAAGAAAAAGAGCCCCACAGCATCACAGATCTACCACCATATTTCACAGTGGGAATGAGGTACTGCAATGAGCCGTTTATTGACAGCATTTTTTTTTTTTAAGTATTCCCAAACCCATACAGTGATATCCATCACAGAAACCTGACAGTTTTTCATGCAGTGCCATCTGAGGGGTTAAAGGTCATAGACATTTGTGGTTTTTGGCTTTTAAACACCGGAATGTTTGCAAATTTTATTAAATTTTCGAGGATATTATGTACTGTAGGGGGTGAAATACCTATTCCTGTAATTGCTCATTGAAGAACTTTTTTTTTTTTTTAAACTACTGGATTTTTTGGTAATGTATTTTTGGCAAAGTAGCGAACCTTAACTCGTCCTTGCTAATAAAGGACTAGACCTTTTCTGGATGCTCCTCTCATATCCAAACATGATTGTATTACCTGTAAGATGTTGTTTGAACATTTCACAATATTACTAGTCTTAAATTGATCCAGTCCCAACTTATTTGGAACATATTGCAGGCATCAAGTTCAGAATGAGGGTATATTTACAAATAAATAAAGTTAATAAGGCAAAATATAACGCATAGCCTCGTAGGACTGTTTTTCTTCAAATATACGTCAATGTAAATTTATAAGTCACTGCTTTCTTTTTTATTTGCATTTTACCTACTGTCCCAGTTTTTTTGGAATTAGATTTGTAAATAAATCAACAAAAATATTTAAGGAGCCAATTTCGTAAATTTTTTTACCTGAAGTCAACTTAACAATTGTGTGGTTTTATGTACCACTGTTACATAACCATTTTCCATCCTCTTTTTATTCCTTAGAATTAAACAGGCTTTTTTTGTTTCTGTGCTTTTAAGAAGTGCTTTTTCAGAGCAACATATGCTG